AATCCACATTTTTGTGAAAAAACATTTTTATCAGACCAACTAACATTATCGAAAGTCTAAATCTCGTATAGACCCCAGCTATAGTTAGAGTTATGCGTGTTTTATGGCGAACTTATTCTGGGAGCAATCATCGCCCTTTCATCCCCAGTTCAGCCCCCATTGAGTGGCGCTCACGCATGCATGGAGAAAGTTCTCGAACTGCACCACAGTGCTTTTCCGGGACAGGCGTTGCGGTGTTTCCGGATCGACATCTCAGCAAGGACATCCGCTCAAGAGGAAACAACCACCCGAAAGCGAATAAATCATGAGTAACACTAGTCGTTTCCGCTAACGAGCCGCCGAGCAGACGCGTGGCGCTTCGGGACGGCTCGTTCCCGCATTTGGGCAGATATTGCTCTACATGGACTAGTAAAGCCTTCGGCACGATGTTTGCTAGCTTTTGCCAGAGCTTCATCGCCACGCTTTTTTGCCTCCGGATACCCGTTTTTGTCTCGTGCTTCGGGCACATGATTAGTGCTGGCATTCGAAGCTGTAGAAGCATCGGCGGCGGCGCTACTGCAGATTCCCACCGACTCATCGCCTCGAACGAGCCCTCGAGCGAATTTCTTTCGTGTGAATTTGAATAGCTCTCGCGCCATGATTGCTTCTTCTCTTCTTGCACTTTCCTTCCCTCACCGTCTTCGTATTGCTCCATCTAGGCGGCGAGCATCGTTTCCTTCACCCTTCTTGTTAATACAGGGTATCCCAAAAAAGTATAGAAAATGTTGACAGAAAACTTTTTCAGACGTGTTTGTAACTGCATATATTTTCAGCCGTTTATCTAGTAAATTTTTGAAAATAAGCCGAAAATCAGCGTTAGATTGTCATACCGTAAGAAACCAACCTTAGTTAGTTTGACGTCTTTCGTTTTTTTAGGAGTAACTCGCGTCTGTCAGAGGCCCAAAATTAGTCGTACATTCCTACCGTAATTTCAGTTTTGTAGAAATCGGTAATTCGCTCTATAATGTAAATCTAAGTTCAAGCTAGCCCTACCGTACCCAACCCCTCA